GAAATATGTTCACTGGATTTCTCATCATTGATCTTTGCAATAGTTCCGGGCGTCAAAGCCTTCCTTTTACCCATAATAGAAACGGGTATAGCCCCAAAACCAATGGGAACACCGGACAAAAGATGGGGGGGATGAGAGACAAAAGTGCACCACTTGACACGACTGAAGCCACTGAGGCAGGGCTGCCAATGAGATTTTCAGAAAAGCCCCAGATCAGATTCCACCCCCCCAAAAAAAATAAAAAAATAAATAAATAAACAGATTTTCAAAATATGAAGTTGAAATTGAAATATATTAGTATTGTACTTACTTTTACATGCGTATCACAACAGTAATTCCTCCTCCTTGGAGTCTCACTTTCCGTTGATTTTTTTTTCTCAATGAACCGAGTAAAATAAACACTAGACTTAGCCATAGCAAAACTTTTCTAATGTTTTACAAAAGATTTGTTTTTCAGAAGCATGGATTTATTTGCGCTCTTTAGCGTAACATTGCAGCAGTTACAATAGCTGGCTTCTGTATCATTTTTATCTTGCTGAAGCCAATCCTTCAATTCCGAAAAAATGGCCTGCACAAAGAGGACAACCTTCGAGTCCAACAGTAACAGCAGCACTAACTTGCGAACTGAACTTCCCTAATTCACCGAGTAAACATACCTATTGCTAGCGTTACCAAGCGAGAGTCGTCAATCGACCTTGTTTGAATCTTGTAATGCTGGCGTCACACAGAGCCAAAACTCCCGACCCGACTCTTAAGACCGCGTTCCGACGGAATCTTCGCTCAATCCTTGGAGATCCGGCAGATTTTTTAGCCGACAGGTGCATTCCTGTGCCTGTCGGAAGTGCGTCATACGTCCGCGTAAGCATTACTATGGATCGTAATTGCAATCGTACGGAGTAGTTTGGACGCGTAATTTAGCGTATGACTGATCATACGCAAACGTAAGTCTCATCATAGAAAACGGGAAATTTAAATTTTTGACCGTTACGACTGGGCCAACCATGCTCCCAATGCTCCCTACCCATCGTAGGGGAACGTACACGTTCGTAGGGGGTTGTTCATTTTCATTATTTTATACTGAGAAGATATTAAGTTTAATATATTACATTTAATAATGTAATAATGTTTCATCTTTGTCATTCACAGAATCCTTCAAATGTAAGTTGTATGTACTGGTAAACGCAAATAAAAAGTAATTTGGTATAGTTATATTTGCCCTTACTTTTCCATTTATATAATTATGTTAGAATTGATCCTAGTGAACAATAAATATATGGAATATATATATATATATATATATATATATATATATATATATATATATATATATATATATATATATATATATATATATATATATATATATATATATATATATATATATATATATATATATATATATATATATATATATATATGGGATATTTGTGAAAGCATAACCCTGATTTATATATTTGGCACTTCAGCTACTTATATATATATAAGTAAATATATGTTGGCCATGTATGTTAATATATTTCATATATTTTGTTTGACACATTTATGTATTTGATTAATTCATATTTTGATATGAGGGAAAAAATAAATGCACTAATATCATGGTAAACAATAAGAAATGCACTAATATCATGCTAAAACAATAAGAAATGCGGCAAGCGGAGCAGGAAAACTGAACGCCCAGGACTGGGTTGTCAGGAATGAGACCACGCATGCGCGCGCTGTCTTTTCGTACTGCGCTGCCAGACGTATAAGCGAATTTTTAAATTTTTAACGGTTCCAGACCCGGAGGACTGCGTACGCCGGGTAGGATCGATCCTCTGGATCGTACACGGGCGTACACCTTCTCCTACGCCCGCGTGCTATCAAGAAGATCGATCTTACCCGTCGTACGCAGTCTTCTACGACTGATTTGGTCTTCCGAATCACAGAGATTATTGGGTGCAGCAGCCAATTATCGTAGGCCCTCCACGACGGTTCAGGACCCCCTCGATTTTTTTAAACTACGTAGGACCGTTAGGATTCCGTCGTACGCGGACGAAAAATTACACCCGATTATCGTAATGACGTCATTGCTGCCGGGAGGATTCTGTCTTTAGACGGTTTTAAGAGTCGTGTCGGGAATTTTGGCTATGTGTGACGCCAGCATAAACGGTACGTACATGTTCAGTTGACGACTGGTCTATGAAAACCTCTTTCAACACAGAGCATTATAAAATCATATCAAGCATTTAACTATATATCTGATTTATTTCCAATTTTTACAAATATATGATGCATGGAAAAAAAATTACAAATAAAAACCCAGAAACCCAGATGGTTAATGAGAAAGTCAGATATATGGGGGAAAAAAAACAGCATTGGCAGCCCTGCACTAAGTAACTAAGGTGTCTGAGTCTGTGGTGTGTTAGCAGGAGGCGGTGACGTCATGCTAACGGCTGCTACCCACCATACTGCACTAACGAAACTTTTTGTCTCGGCATTATGCCGGGGCCCTCACCCAGCATAATGCTGTGACGAGCACCGTAAATCATTAGTCAATCTTTGTCCTTTATGAACTTCTTGGGTAAGATAAAAAAAATTAAGTAAAATGAGGAAGAAAAATCACTCAATTTTACTATGCTTATTAAAATTAGCATCTATTTCACTTATTTCGAGATGCGAATAATGTCAGCAATAATAATAATAATATAAAAAATAATTATTATTATAGCAATAATAATAGTAATAATAATAGATATTACAATAATAATGATAATAATAATAATAATAATAATGACAACAATAATAATGAAATAATAATAATAATAATAATAAAAATAATAATAATAATAATAATAATAATACTATTCAGTAGTAGTAGTAGTTGTAACAATAGTAGAAGTAGTATAACGATAAAAAAAACTGCCTTTTCAGACGACAATATTTAATCGTAGAAGAAGCTAAATCGAAAAGCTAGAATAAATTTCTTCGGCCTCCCCCCCTTTTTTTGAAAATGCACTTACGCACACACACACTCGAGTACCTGATTCGCGAATTCGAACTCAAGAAAAAGTTTTCAATTTATCACCGTTATATTTTTCTTCTAGCTCATCCATTTTTTTTTCATCCTAAATCACAGCAACGACTGAGCGAACATTTCCGTAACTTTCAAATCATTTTGGACCTCTAATCACCAGCTTAATAACTTTGCCTTCTTTGGCAAAGCAAAGTTTCAGGAGTTGGGAAAGCACTTGCTAGGTTATATTTTATTTTACACAACATTCGCAAATTTGCAGAGGTCATAGAGAATGCAGAGTGAATGGATTTGTAAAATTCACAAATTTATTCGAAAATAAATATTCTTAGAGTTTACATAACTTTGAAGAAGTCAAGGAAAGCGCTGAGTAAATATGTTTATTTAAATGTAAGAATATATCCAAATGCTCATATTTTTTCAAGGTTTAAACAGACCTCCAAAGGTCATGAAAAACAAGAAAGTCAAATGAATATCAACGTAACAATTAGATATTCTAATAACTCTTATTTCAGGGTTTATATGGAATTAGAAGGAAGCTGCATACTACGAATAAAGGGAGAGGAATTTTCTCATGCGCCTGTGTAGGACTGAAACGAAGTAAAAAGCTAAAACATCGAAGATCATTAGCTACGCAAGCACATGTGTACAATAGTACACATAAAACAATAATACACAGTATAAAACAAAAATAATTAAGATCAAAACAATAACTATATTCAACGAAGACAGATAATAATCGTCATATATATATATATGTTGTTGTTGTTGTTCCGGTTTTACGTCACGGACTCCCTTTTCTACCAAGGGCTAGGACGGTTGCCTTCTTCCAAAGGACTTGTTTTGGCAGATGTAATCGTTACCCTGAATGCATGCCCTTGCTAACCTCAGATATATATATATATATATATATATATATATATATATATATATATATATATATATATATATATATATATATATATATCGAATGTCACACTACGTGTATAACACTAAACATGAATGGACAAAAAGTATGTGACCTGGAAACTCATCCCAATTTTGACACAAACGTAGAATGAAAAATGGAAAAAGTAAAACTTGAAGTGAATGTGTACATGTATATAAATAAAGTAGTCCCGTGAAAATTTTGAAATAATTCTTCGTTATATACTACTATTTCCATGTTTATATATAGTTGGTGATGGTAACCAGCCTTCTTGAGGCTGGAACTTTTATGATTGGATGATTTTACTATAACTAATCTTTTCCATTTATCCAGGACCGGAACCGAACTGAGATAGCTTGTTTAAGAACAAAAAAAAAACTCGGACTGAGAGTCAAGATGGAATAACAAAATCAATAAGACTTAGTTTTTCGGAGAACAAAAACTCCGATAATGTTACTGAGTTAAGTTGAAATTTAAAACAGGAAAGTGTATGTATATATATATATATATATATATATATATATATATATATATATATATATATATATATATATATATATATATATATATATATATATATATATATATATATATATATATATATATATATATACATATATATATATATATATATATATATATATATATATATATATATATATATATATATATATATATATATATATATATATATATATATATATATATATATATATATATATATATATATATATATATATATATATATACACTTTCCTGTTTTAAATTTCAACTTAACTCCGTAACATTATCGGATTTTGTTTCCCGAAAAACTAAGTCTTATTGATTTTGTTATTCAATCTTGACTCTCAGTCCGAGTTCTTTTTCTTAAACAAGCTATCTCAGTTTGGTTCCCGTTTTGGATAAATGGAAAAGGTTTGTTATAGTAAAAACATCCAATCATGAGAGTTCCAGCCTCCAGATATATATATATATATATATATATATATATATATATATATATATATATATATATATATATATATATATATATATATATCTTTGTGTGTGTGCATTTGTAGCCGCCGTGGCCGAGTGGTAACACTTGCGACTGTGATTCGCTAGGTCGCGAGTTTGAGACCCGTCACGGTTTGAGGTTACAAAGGGTACTCACTTAGAATAACGGTCACACTTACCATCACCAAAGTACTTCGCAGAAGGCACCGTCCGAGTCATTAATAAAAGAGGGACTCATTGTGTGTGTGTATATATATATATATATATATATATATATATATATATATATATATATATATATATATATATATATATATATATATATATATATATACACACACACGTGGAGAGGATGGATGATGAAAGACTACTGAAAAAGGTGATGAATGAGAGGTTGATGGGAGAAATGCTAGAGGGAGGCCTAGGCTTGGGTGGATGGATGGAGTAAGGAGAGCCCTGAATAATAACAGGATGGATGTGAGGGAAGCAAGTGAGCGTGCTAGGAATAGGAATGAATGGCGAGCGATTGTGACACATCTCTGATGGGCATCTGCTGTTGCCACGGGACTGCATCTTACAGAGGTAGCCCGGGAGGGTGGGCTGTGGCACTCCAACAGTGCCCTCTGAACGGTCGCTAACTCCCTCGTCATTGCCCATAGAGCAAAGTGATCCTCTTATTGTTTCTTTTTTGGTGTCGGCTACCCCCCAAATTGGGAGAAACAGCCAGGGTAAATGGATGGATGTATCTCTTATATATACATACATACATGCATATATATATATATATATATATATATATATATATATATATATATATATATATATATATATATATATATATATATATATATATATATATATATATATATATATATACACACACACATACAGTTTTTTAATTACCTGTGTTACGGCTGAATACATACTCCTGCTACATTCTATTAAGCTTAGATAGCTTCACTGCGGGCATATATATATATATATATATATATATATATATATATATATATATATATATATATATATATTATATATATATATATATATATATATATATATATATATATAAAGAGAAAGAGAGAGAGAGAGAGAGAGAGAGAGAGAGGGGGGGATAAATACAGCTATATAGAAAGCAGCACTAACCAGCGTAGTATCACATATGCTGTAAAAACACCCACAATAAAATATATATGGAGGTAGGAAGCACTTTTCATCTAAATTGGAAATGTCAATTTACTGATCTTGTTATTATCGTAGGTTTCCCCATATAGACAAGTCCTAGAGTTTTCTTTTACCCAAATAATCAATTAAGAGCTATAAAAGAGAGCCACGTTAAAGCATTTGGCTTCTTTTTATATTCCCTCTAATGTTTCCTTTGATCGGAAATTTCACCAGTTCCACTCTCAAGATGGCGCTTAAATGGTTTCCTTTACAGTTCCCTCCGGAGGCATTGGAGGGCCACTCGTAAAGCTCGTTTCACAGGAAGGTGAAAGGGATGTTAGGTTTCCTCAAATATCATTCGATCGTCTTTACGACTCCGCCTGGTAATAGTGGGTAGGAATGTACGAACAGAAAAATATATAGAACCTTTTACATATCCTCTCATGACGCTGAAATTATATATTTTACTAAAAACATTATCTCCATGGCATCATGGAATAGAAAACCTCATACTATCAAAATTTATGTCCCATACTAGCTGTAGTAAATTTGTACTTTTGGTACTCAATAAAGCTATACTCTAATACTTTAATGGCATTTACTGATTCAAATCTCCCATATCAGTCTGCATTAATTTTAATATGAAAAGGCATTCGTAATTTATTACATTATCAAATTTGCCTGATAGTTTCTATAAATACAGCTACGAGATTTGGCAATTACCGTACATATCATTTTCTATTCACTTAGTTTGTCATTCACGTGACAAGAAGGAAACAAAGCAAGAGACACCTCATGCAATCAGTTAAGTGCCTCAGTCTAGCTTCTAAATATCCTCCTCTTCTTCTTCGTCTACATCTTTTCCCACTTTTATGTGAGGTCGATGTTTCTGGCCAGTTATCTGTACTGGCCATATTTTGGTTTTGGCAAAATTTTTATGGCCGGATGCCCTTCCTGCCACCAACCCTCCCCATCTACCCAGGCTTGGGACCGGCACCAAGTTGAGGCTAGCTTGCCCCCCTCAGTGGCTGGGTTTTGCTTCTAAATATCCAACAGGTGGAAAAAAACCTCTTGAATAGCTAATGAGATATGTTTTTAGGAATGAGGAGGGAAAAGATTTTTTTTTTTAATGATTGTGACACCAGGACAGGCAAAATAAAAAATCTACCCTAATCAAGCCTGGGCACGAAGAAAACATAAAGAGAAACAGAGATGGGAAGAATTGTGACTTGTCAAATGTGACTAGTAGAAACTTGCCAAATAAAGTAATATACATTAATTGGAGTTTGTTATTATCAATAAATAAATGTCAAGAGTACAACACACAGCCATTTTTAGTCACTCAGCATTAAAAAAAAATAGAAAAAAATGTTCACATCCTCTAACATAGAAAATGAGAATGCATGTTTAAAACAAGAAAAATTTTATAAATTCTAATAGACTATTCAGCCATTACATAAAATGTAAGATAGAAA